CATACTCCTCATAAAGTCATAAGCAAAAGGTCACAGTTTACACACATAAAGCTAGTTAAATATCACAGTATGATAAATTTGCTAAAATAAAAAAGATGTCTCGTTGTAGTAAATAATTTACTAATACTACTTGTATATTATTTCTTAAACGGTTTTATATTTAGATAATTTTATTACAATCTTAAATTACGAAATACGCAAATCATTTCTATTTGTCATGTTGAAAATATATTGTCATATGATTTATTTTTAATTTTCTCTTCTTTTCAGCCAGCGGATAAAACCGAATATATTAATTTATTGCATTGTTATTTTCTTGTTTATACTAATAAACATGAGTTACTTTGATATTTTGTTTTAATCTATCAAAAATATACCCTCTTTCGACTTATATATTTTGTAAAATATCATATAATAATTAAATAAAAACGTTGAAAATATATCTACAAAAACACAATAATAAGAAATAATGGATGAAAGAAAATTATTAATTAATTATTGAATTTACCCATCAACAAACGAATTCACTCTATATAAAAATAGAGCATAGAGCATAGCGCATAGATAAAGCAAAGATGGCAAGCTTAAAAAGCGCCATCTATCGTATACCCTTCTTATAAAAAAACCGGGGAAAATAAATTGCTTATCAGGTATCCCTGTATTCGCTAGACATTGAGACTATCAAGATGCGAGCGCGGGTCGGCTAGTCTTGTTCAAAATACCAATTTAGTTCACTGTGTCTGTAGTGCCATCAACGAAACGGTAAGTTTAAATTACTAAATACTTAGAAAAATACCCTTTAGTGGTGTTTACAATAAAACATTGCCGAAACGTTTCCTTAATTTGAACTTAACTATACTGATAACTTATAATTTATTATGTTTTATAATGATTTTTCTAATTCCCGCATGTTGATATAATAATAATGTAATTTTTTTCTATACGCTTTCAATTTTAAGTTTAGAGCTACGACTCCTAAAGTTGTCATTTTTATATTCGTTCACATTACGGTATCTTGAATATTTACAGCAAAATGGAAGATCGCACCAATTTTGTACTTCATTTATATATTATATAATATATTTCTTTAAAAAAAAAAGCACGAACATTAATAATAATTTTAAATATATAAAAACGTCTAGTCATTATATCGCATTTTTTCTAATCCTAAAAGAATTATAACTCTTAATGTTGTAAAGTATTAAAGCAGTTGACGTACAGAATTTATAAACAAATCCACCCAAAAGGAGGTGGTTTTGTTTGTAAATTCGGCAATTCTATTGGTCTACTTCGTAAAGAGCGGAGTCCTAAGTTCGAATCAAGATGAAAAACAAATATTGTTTTGGCATCTCAAATCACCTACATTGTCTTACACAATATCTAGCTGCAACGTTACGTCAGTATACATACTTATTTAAATAAATCACTTTAACCGCTTAAAACGCGATATATTAAATTATATATTAGCGATATATTAATATAGTTATTTGCTTAACTTATTTGCTAAGGCTTCTGCAAAGCATCCGAAACATCGGGCCGTAGTTAAAATAATTTTCAAATATAATAATTTGAACTAATATATATCGCGTTTTAAACCGTTAAAGTGTTTTATTTGATTGTGTACTACTCGCGTCTTCTACTTATGTTAAAAATAACGATAGATTAGAAAGTTATGCCGTCTTTTCTCTACAAATGGGAAAGACGAGATATGAAACTTATTTCATATATCTAGTCTTCATAACATATGTTAATTATGTTTATAGGCGCTCAAATAATGTTTTGTTTTGTATAGGGTTGTTTTTATTAAATTCATACTTTCCTTTTCATACGAAAGTTTTGCCCTTTGGCATCTGCACAGGTAAACAATAGCGTAGGACAAATATAAATAGGCTGTTAACACATCCATGGTAAGGAAGACAGCACATAAGATTTAGCTGAGGACAGATATAGGTTTCACTTCATGGTAGGTAAAATATCTTAAATATCTTAAACAAGAGGCACGTTCGACCTATATTGCGTTTCGATTCGAAAATGTACAGACTTTAAAACTATTGATTACTTACTATCTATAGTTTACGCGAGTAGTACACATTTAAATAAAACACTTTAACGGTTTAAAACGCGATATATTAGTTAAACTTATTTGCAAAATGATTTTTAACTTCGGCCCGACGCATCCAAAACGTCGAAGCAATACATTCATTAGTTTTCTTTTCCCAAAAAACTTAACCCCTCAAAAAACCAAACCCGAAAAAAAAAAGCAAAAGCCAAACCGAGAAAAAGAAACATTGAAAACTTAATTATTTCTTACACGGTCGTTTTAAAAAATTCGTCTCGGTCAGGACTTGAACCGGCATCGTCAGCGTTCCGTGCCGTTGCTCTACCAATTGAGCTACCGAGTCTGGCGACTCGGGCAGGACGAGCAGCAGAGCAACAGCACGGAACGCTGACGATGCCGGTTCAAGTCGTGCCCGAGTCGAAATATTTTTCAATTTATTTTCAATTTTTAAATTATGATCCAAATTATCAAAAATATAACTTTATAACAATAGATGTAAATATATATCTACAACAATTTTCCTATGCCCTTTTACCAGAGTGAAAACCCTTGTTCCCTTACACATTTGCATGTGATTATTCCGTAACTTTTAATGAGGCAACTTTTATAATAAACAATAATTAATATTTATAATTAACTTTCTATCAACGACACCTCGGAATAAATTTATTTATGAACTTGTCAACATTCTGACAAAGGTGAGCCGTGAATATAATTTTTGCTAATTGTCTTCTGCGTTTGTTTTACATAACATTTTATTATAAATAGATATGTTACCGTGACTAGCATTACATCGAAAATTTCCACTCTTTTTTAACACTGAAGATTGCTTTATGAAACCATTATCTCTAGTAATCAAGTGAATAGAAATAATATTTAAATAAAACACTTTAAGTTTAAAACGCGATATATTAGTTAAATATTGAAATATTTTTAATTCGGCCCTTTGGATGCTTTGAGCAGCCGTGGTAGGGGAGACATAAGACAAAATAATATTTACCAAACACAAAACGAAAAACCAAGATATACACATTAACGAAGATTTTTTTTAATAATTCAAATAAAAAATCTTTCTTACATACTATTTTTCTTACATTACTATTTCTTGGTTTTTGAGTCGTATTCGCGTAGTGTTGCCCAAATGCAAGAACATGACGAGACTTAGCCAGTCTTGGTGTTGGTCTTGCGCCAATACACTTAGTCTTGGTCTTGGTCTTGTGTTCCAGGTCGGGAAGAGTCTTGCAAGTCTTGCTATCACCTATTAGACTATTACTATTTATTAAAGTTTACTTTAGATCTTATAAAAACGTATTAGTATTGGAATATTGTGAGCTTGAATTGAGATAGTAAAGACCAATCAGATTTATAAAATTGTGAACATTTCTTAAGAAATTTGAAAAATCAACTGCCACATGGTTATCACATAGCTTTCCCATGGGAGTAACAGTTTCTTAATAAACATTTACACTTTATAAGCTTACATATGCCAAAACATGTAAAAAACTAATTAATTCAATAACTTGACTGTGTTTTAAAGAACAATATCTTCTAGAAAAGATTAACCCTTCTTAGGTATATGAAATTTAATAAAAGATTTACATTTATTTCAATAAAAATAAAATACAACAAAAAATCGGCAAGTGTCTTTAAGAGTCGGTACAAAACCTTTGATCCGCATAATAATGATATAAAATAATATATAGGAATTTTATTCACTATGTATGTTTATGGTATTGGTCGTAATGCGCATAGGTCCAGTTTTTCATAAACTTGGATACAATTTCTTCATCTCATAAAATTCCCAAGTGTACTATACACCGAACTGTTATACCTAACTACTCCGTCACATAGCGGTAAGTCCTAGCTGCAAGTCGCAAAAGTCTTGCTGGATTAGTCTTGTTTTTTGTTTTAAAAATATGTTCTTGGTCTTAGTCTTGCAAAAATGCAAGAATAAGACCAATACTTAATTTGGGCATCACTAGTGGCCGGTGCATAGTGACCCAGACGGAATATCAATATCTACCACAGCCTGGAAACAGACAGTTTACCAGCCTGTATCTTGTATATACTAAACAGATATCAAAAATGCAACACTTATACACCCATTAGAACGCCAGCAGCAATAATGTGGCGTGAACTGTACGAAGCATTGCTTCTAACCGCTGCACTAACAGCTGGACATCTTACAAGCGTTAAGGTATCAAACGGTCCACTATAACATAATTCTAAAAAATTTATGGTGGGGATCGAATGCTAATTTTAATAACGTGGCAATTGTCATCCCAGTAAAGTGCGTCTATCTATTTATTTTAAATGTAATAGATGTTTTTATTATAAGTGTTCTTAGTAAAAACATACAGGTTACCAGCCTGTATGTTTTTATTTTTAACAGTTTTGTATATTTTTTTTATTTTGTATAATTTCTTTACACTTTTTTTCTGCCAGTAAAAATTTTGTCCCTGGAAGAGAGTCGCTTGTTGATAACCGCGTGATTCTAGCTTCTTTACATTATTTTTTATTTATGAATGGTAAATCAACTAAGACAAACAAGTATTTAGGCTCAAAGAAAACTTAAACAATCATTACTAAAACATATAAGTCTATATTTTTTTTATTTCGAGCCTCGTTATCCATTTAAAATCGTTAAGATGTGTTATGTGCTAGATAGAATGAAACTTGTAAAGTGTAGTTCATGTCGCTATTATTATGTATTCAGTTTAGTTTAGTTAGATTTTTTAAAAATATGTCACGTTAGTCTTGAACCGACATTCACGGATCAGCACGGAACGCTGTGGATGCTGGTTCAAGTACAGTCGGAGTCGTAAAACATGTTTAAATAGATTTTATACTTTCCATCAAACTTAGTAACAGTAGCAATAGGTATTAAAAACAGCATGTAAAAGAAGGAATTTTATATGTCCGTACCATACCTACAATTACAATGTCTGTTGCAGAAGAAAGACAAACACGCGAAGCTGGTGGGTTTTGGTTGGGTGGGCGATATGGACGTTCTCTACACACAGTCATGTCAACAAGAAATGACAGGTGAGTTTGTTCTTGTCTGTATAAATAATTAGTAATTTATATCAAAGTTTATGAATAAAATGATTTCGTTCTTTATCTTCAATATGAAAATCGTGTTTACCATAGCTTAAACTACTAAAAACTAAATTATACTATATAAACGGTTTGAAACACGAATTATATGCAATTAGGTCGATCATTTTTCATTTAATTTAAATTTGGTCCTCTGTGGCTGCTGCAAAGCATCAAAACGTCAGGCTGTAGTTAAATTAAATTTAAAATAAGTTTTCAAATACATTTTGCGTTTCAAACAGTTTTTAGTGTTTTATTTAAATGTGCAATACTCGCGTATACTACAGACAATACTTACGCAATATATTAAAAATTATGACCCGTCTGACTTTTCCAGTCTTTGATTTTGAACCATTGTACATTGTAGTTTTCACGTAAAGTAATACAAGTGTGTCTCCTCAAAACGTACTTTTGTATATTTCTTCGTCATTGAGTTGAGTACTCATAAAAACAAGCAGTTAATATTTGATGGTATAATGACTCTTCCAATCAAAGAATCTAATTCAATATAACGATAAATTAACTTTAAAACGAGCAGTTTGGTCACAGAAATTTCCTAAAAATAAAACAGGATTTAACTACGATTCTTTTTGGCAACTAGTATTTTTTACTAGAACCAAATATTTTCGATACTGAACAGAAACCATGTCCGTATATATCTAGTTTATAACAGTTAAAAGTGTTTTGATTGTATACAACTACAGACAATACATACATTAAGGTAACATTAGGCCTGCATTATAAGAAATGGTAACCAGACTGACTGAAGTGTAATCGTAGCATGTTACGTAACGCTAAGCCTCTAAATAGGTGTATTCACTAGTATAAATGTAATTCATATAAAAAGTGATGCGATGCTTGCAGGATCGTGCGTCGTTTTGAAGGAGAATCACACGACGATACAAATGATAGGTAAAACTGCTTATAAAACTGCTATGCTTGGTCCATGTTGCATGAGTAAAGAATAGGATATGTGAATTGTATCTTTAGAGTAGATTCATTGAACCAATTTCCCACCGCTGGGCATAGGCCCTCTCATATATGAGAAAAAATACAACACATACATAGCTACATACATGTTTATGTTGCGATAATAATTAGATTATTGACAAACGTGCTTATAATAAAGAAAAGACGAATTTATAGTCAAAGTAAAATACTATTAACGGTAAAAAACTCGATACAATATACATTACGATACTGAAATTGGTGTAATTACAACCACTTAACGAGCAAATATGTTATAAACTACATTACTTAATTCATAGTTGTCAATCATACAGATTCTTCTTTGGCAGTCGTTATGGTAAGAGAAACAGCGCCGACGCCCCTCTTAACGCACTGGATCGTTGGAAAAGACGTGTGGTATGCGAGTGTGTACCCAGAGAACATATAAAAAGGTATATTACATACATTGGAAGTTACCTGTAGTAAATAAAACAGATTTAACGGTCTGAAACTCGAAATATATGCCTTAACAAGTAAATTAACGATTATATTTCGCGTTTATTTAACCACTAGTATTATCTATGGTCTATGTGATTATGACCTAATTTGCTGGCAAGCAAAAGAACTTTATTTTTGTCTGTTGATTAATCTTAAGGGAAAAAAATATTTGGGTTTTTTCAATAGGTCAATTTCTGTGTCCTGCCCGACCTAAACTGTGTTTCTCCGCGACAGAAAATAACACCTCTAAATAAGCATGAGTTACAGTTGTGGAATTTTATAAAAAGTGGCATTTAGTGGCATTTCAGTGGCGTAGCTACGTAGGGCCGGGTGGTGCAGTGCACCAGGGCCCCGGAACTTAGGGGCCCTCTAACCTTATCGTTGAGAAGATATAAGCGAAGAAGAAAAGGATTTTTTTAACGTTCTTGTTGCTATTTATAATTTTTGAGGTTCATTTAATTAAAGCTATGCTAAAAGAGGGGATGAGGTCCCGATTCTTTCTAGGGCCTTAGAATTAGGTAGACCGGGGATCTTATCCACATAGCTATGCTACTGATTTATTTTTTCATTCCAGGTCCACGGTTCGGAGCACAGTATGAGGCGAGATAGAACTTCTCAACAAAAACAACAGACCATTTTTATTTTCCGTGTTTTTATTGATCTCTATAGAATATGCGTAAAATGCACATTTTATATAAATACATAGAATTTGTAAGTTTCTAGTCAATATGCAATTTCACTATTATTTATTGTAAGAAGCTTGCGTAAAATTTGGGCTGGATTTTTTACGCAAGCTGTAAATCGTCTTGGTTATCGTTGCATTTAAAGAACAGAAAAGCACATTTGTAATTTCTTAAAAGTGTAATAAATAAATATAAATATTGTTTAAGGTGCAATATATTGTATTTTACGATGAAATTAAACGTGATTTAATCGTTACTGTTTTTTACTTTAATAACATCTCTTTGTTTGGACCAAACGAATTCAAGAAACCCTTTTTTATCTAGATATCATTTAAAAACTTATGTACTAAAGGCATTTATTGCACTTATATTTGACGGACCCGTTGGTTGGCAACGGCTCGTGGATTCGATCCCCACTAAATCCAACATTTTTACAATCAATTTATGATTTTTCTGAAATATGTCGGTCTTCACTCTAAATCTGGCTATTAAACTCGTCCGGGTCACAAACCACCATCCACAGATGAAAAATCCTTGTGAATGTCCAAATAGTCAAAGCTTAAATAAGTCGACGGTTGTTGTATACGGTTTCGGTATTTGACTTCCATCAAATAAAGCTAACGCTTGTCATCGCTATCACAAAAAATACGATGCAAGCAAACTGGGGGATAAAAATAAGAAGGATTATAACTCCAGATAAATTGTAAAGAAAACGTATGCACGAATTAAATATAATGCATTATTAAATAAACCACTTTTGACTGTTGAAAACACGAAATATTAGTGACTTATTTTTAATACGCCTGTCATTTTCGTTGCAACACTAACAATCTATTAACTAATTTGTTTTGCAGTTTAAAACGTTACTGAATTTTGTATACAAATGTGTACGACTCATGTGAACTACAGACATTATTCAATTTATTTTACACAAAGACGCGTGAGAGATTCTGGAAAAACCTCTTTATTTAGTTTTATGTAAAAGATACGAGATGCTTCAATATGCTGCATCATCCAAATGTTTTAGCCAAGTCTACGTTACCTTTAAATATAGACCAAAATAAATTGTCAAATCAAATATGTAATGTGTTTATGTAAGTAACGATTACAGCAAAAATATGTAGAAATACACAAACAGACGATAGCAAAGTTAAATCTAACATAAGTAGAAAATAAATTAATACCTATAATTTAGGCATATAATGACAAGTTCTGGATTGGTGTCCCGGGAGACAAGAAATTGTTTTAGTCGGGCAGAGCACAGAAGTTTTATCAACTTACTTGCCTGTTAATAAAATAATCCTGGAAAACGGAGACAGAACTATGATATACTATATAGACATGAATCTACACTACTTGGTTTTAAAAATACAGACTATCGATTCTTCTTCATGTGCTTGTGCCAATGTGGGGCACCACGTTGGGGACATAGCATCATAGCCAAGGCATGATAGTAATTCTGTTATTATTATAACTCGTCTATCATAAGTATCAGTTGGTTACACCTGGTCGCGGTGATGGATGTAACATGGGATATAATTATAGTTATTTGATCTCATTAATAATGATAGATAATAAGGGAAAGGTCAGGAAGAATGAAAAAATACTGAACATTTTCTGATATGGTGAAAAAGTCTTGCCACCACGCAAATGGTTTTACATACATTTAAATAAAACAATTAAGGGAAAGCGCGAAATACATTATATGAAAGAGTGTAACTATAGATAGGACACTTTTTTGGCTTAAAAACAATATTATATACACTAGTGTGAAATTGGATTTAAAAAATTAAACTATTTAATATCTACATCTACAGTGATATTATGAGGAGTTAGATCGAAAAAAAAAATATAGTTAGAGTACATTTTTTTCAATTTATTTTCTACTCTTAATTTATATAGTGCCATCGTGTGCAATAAAATGTCAAAAATATTACAGTTTATTGATACCTTTACAATTTTTATAAGTATTACAGCCAATGTTCAAGATATCGATTCTTAGACGAGCGTAATTAAGAATCTATAAGTGCATATTTTTATTAAGTGTCTGCGAAATGAAGACCAGATAAAGAGCAATCTGTAATTCTCAGAAACACTTTTGTGGCTTCTAATACTTCCTTTCAGTGCAGTGCTGAGAGGACTTTACAGTACCTTCGTCGAAATAAATGATTAGTTTGCATCGAAGAAATACATTAAGACAAAGAAATTATAAATTTTATTTGTATAATGTAAGAAAAGAGACAACTTACTGATTTTAATAGAAACAATGCTGCTTTAAATGCGAAGTATAAGTTAAACTACGACCAGGCGTATATTTCGCGTTTCAAACCGTTAAAATGTTTTATGTAAAAGGACACATGACTAGTGTTTATTCCTAGGATTTCCTTACCAAGTCAAAGTCAAAAATTATTTATTTATTTATTTATTTATTTATTCTTTATTGCACAAAAAAATAAAAATATTACAAATTAAACCTATATACTAGAATGGAGAGCAATGGGCGGCCTTATCGCTAACAAGCGATCTCTTCCAGGCAACCTTAAGTTATGAAATGTTAAGAAATTGAGATGTGCAAGGTAGGCGAAACAAATTATTACAAACAATAAATAATCATAAACAAAAAAAAAAAACACAGAACTTGAAATAAAAATATACAGATCTAAAAAGGTTACATGTTTACTAACTTAAACGAAGGGACTAAATATATTTAAAATAAATAGATAGTGACTTTACTCAGATGACAGGAAATGTTTATAAAGCAGCCATTTAAATGATGGGAGAGAAGGAGCCATGCGTATGGAAACGGGTAAGGCGTTCCATAGTCTGATCGCAGTAATTTGAAAGGATTTACCTTGGAAATTGGAGCTGTGAGAAGGAACCTCAAGAATATGACGGTCCGATGATCGTAAACTATAACTACCATAGGGACCCAAATATTTAAAATTAGATTTAAGATAAGGGGGAGAATTTGGGGCGAAGAGAATAGAGTATAGGAGCTGAAGAACATGTGAGTCTCGCCGAAGGCGAATGGACAGCCACCCTAACTTTTTACGAAACGCAGAAATATGGTCGAATTTTCGTAGTCCAAATATAAATCGGATACAGAAATTTTGCAGACGTTCCAGCTTATCTAATAGTTCTTCATTCATATCCGTAGAGCATACATCAGCATAGTCAAGCAGTGGTAAAAGAAGGGTTTGTGCTAGAGTAGTTTTAGTCCGAATGGGAAGGAAATTGCTGAGTCGTCTTAACATACTCGAAGCGGCATATATTTTACGACTGATTTGCTCAACATGCGACGCCCAGGAGAAGGTTTGGTCAAAGTACACACCAAGATTTTTTACCGATTTACTAAAAATTATTTATTCACGCAGATAACTAACTAGGTACACTTATGCACGTCACATCCGTTAAAAACGAAAGACTAAATTTACTACCAGTTCCCAAAACAAGGGCATAGAAAGGATTAGAAGAACTGGCAAGAAACTCGCCGTCACTTCTTTCATCGCCAAGTTTCATTTCACGCATTTTAAACGTTTTCTTGTTAGAGAAGGTTCCTCCAAGCCCCAAGCATTATTATTGGTAGATTATTTGTTGACAGCGCTTGTCACCGGCGAGTTGATTACAATATCGAATGCAATTGAAAAGAATTACTACTTTTACGGTTCCTTCTGTATATCTTCCCTACCTGGTTATATGGATAACAAAATTTTGTAAACGAGACGTATCAGAAGAACTATAAACCGTCAAAGCTTACAGCCGAAAAAGTCCAAGGATAATATTTGCTTTCTTGTTCGCCGCTAGCTATGTTACTACGCCTTACGTTACAATATTTACACCGTAGTATAATGTTAAAAAGGTTTTACTTTCCCATATAAGCCTTTAATTTTATTTTTAATGGGGTTCCGAACCTTACTTAAGAATGTATATTGTATTTATAATTATTTCGTTTATTAGAGCTGGACTTTTATTTACAAACGGTTTATCTTTCCTCTAATCCAAACATAAAACACCCTTAAACGGTATGAAACGCGAACTGTAGATATCAATGGATAAATGTTTTAATACGACCCGACGTTTTGAAAGTTTTCAACAGTTACAGTAGTGGAGCTTACTGTGTTTTATGCGTCCCGTAAAATACAGACATAATTCACCTATTGCTGTTTTAGACAAAAAGTAATGTTAAAAAAGAAAAGATTTAATGAAACACAACAGTTTGTCACAGAAGTTAGGACAAAGGCAATACAAATAATTTCACGGTGTAATGGACGACTAAACTATATTTACACAAAGATTTTTCGCAGATGTGTAATTATTTTATCATTCGCATCGCAAACATTGACTATTTATGGGATTTGATATAAAATGAGATTTAATCCGTAATTGAAATTACCAGCGTTTTTTTAAACGACGTGGATAAAACGTAATTTGTTACACGCCTGTCTGTTTACGCTAGTAGGTACACATTTAAATAAAAAACTTTAAGGGTTTAAAACGCGATATATATTAGTTAAACTTGTTTGAAAATTATTTTAACTACAGCCCGACGTTTCAAATAATTTTCTGACAAGTTTAACTAATATATATCGCGTTTTAAACGGTTTAAGTGTTTTATTTAAATGGTATATGCCTTACAAATCATTTTTATGTTTTCCTAAATTTAATTTAAACCAGAATGACTAACCTGTAAATCAAAATAGGATATCATAACATGACAGACTAAAACATTCTAATACTACAGTGTAAACTTAAACTTATAAAAGCGATCGCTATACATAAAGGCTCGCATCAAAGATGGTACTTTTCTGATGCTACTAGTATTTATTGACGACGCTTTCTAACAGCTTTAGGGACAGTAAGAGAAACCTTTGAAATTCAAACGAGCATTTTTTGATAATTAGTACATAATTATTGTAGCTATGATTTTATTAATATAGCAAACTATTCATGTAAAGGTTTACGATCCCTGTTTCAGACCAACTTTCTATCTGTCAAAAAGTCCTCTCGGACGTAGTGTGAATAAAACCCGTATGGTAAGTTATCGTGTGTGGCGTGGCCTTAATAAATCAGTTCTAATCAGTGTATGCGACGGTACTTCAATATGAGGTGATGCGTTAATCGTAAAGTACCCGCATTATTGTAATTAGATGTCGAGTGTCTCCTAATCTATAATTAGCGGCTCTGACTAAGCGTTGCCTATCTCCGTCATATCTGACGTACTAGTGTGTTCAAAGGTTGGTTTTCATTATTAGGTTCGATTACCAGGGAGTAATGCGGTAGTTAAGGTGGGAAGGCCACAAGGATACTTTTCTTTTAGATTTACAACCCGCTGTGGCGATAAGTCATATGGATAAATAGCCAAACAAGAAAACACATACTTATTATCGACTACTATAGTGTATTATGCAGGAATACCTTTATCTGACGTAACATGATTTCAAGCGTCAGAATAAGTTTCAATCCAATTATTATAAAAACCGTCCGTTTGCATTAACATGTCGTGTTGTTTTTGTTGAATTCTGTCGTGTTGCATAAGAAAGTGTCGGAGGCCCAACTTGAACTTTCTATTATGGCCGATTTTATTGAAATAATACAATATTCATAACACAAAATACAAAAATTATAAATCGGCATTAATGTTTCGTTACAATGCTTTAAATTGACACTAGCGCCATCTGGTTTTCAATCACCAAACTAAATCATTAAAAAATTCCTCGACATCTTTTTTATCTAAACCGCCTAAAGATTATATTTTTTATATTCAAATAAATAAACACCTTCTGAGATTATATAACATTTTATTATATATAGAAATTATAAAGGTTATATATTGTTATTATTATACACACTAGTCGCCATTTCTAATCACTTTTATAATAACTATCAGCAAATATATGAATTAAATAAGAAATGAGGTAAAGTTAAAATTAAAAAAAAGAAATAAGCAAAATATCGGTTAATAAAAACCGATTATGCTCAACAGTTGTTGACTAACCGATTTTTTAAACTTGACAACCCTATTTCTTTTCGCTTTGACATTTGAGTACTTCGCGTGCTTTTGTGGTAAATTTCGATTTAAATAAAATAAAACTCGTGGTATTAAGGTGATTGTGATTAAAATACGGTGAAACTTAATTGAAATTTTCAGATTATCAAAATGCAGAACGACGCTGGAGAATTTGTTGACTTGTACTGCCCAAGGAAATGGTAAGTGCATGCACATTATAGGTTATGTTTTATCGTCGTATTGAAACACGTAATTTAGTTCTTTTTAAATATCCCTATCAATGCTATCCAATGTACATTATGTTATAAATTAAATACTAGGTATTTTAGTAGTGAAAAGTGTAAACAAAAGAGACAAATGTAATTTTTCCAACACAGTTTTCTTATGTACTGCAGTACTTCACACGTTTTTATCAAAGTTAATCCAGAACGATATATAGTAATCACACTCAATTAATTTTAATTATTGCAATAAAGCATCTCTTTTCATTACTATAAAATGTTTACAGCTCGGCAAGTAACCGTCTGATCCACGCTAAAGACCATGCATCCGTGCAATTAGTCATTGCTGATGTTGACCCGGCAACGGGCCGTGCCACTGACTCCGCCAAGATGTATGTCGTCTGCGGTGCTATCAGGCGGATGGGAGAGTCTGATGACTGCATAGTTCGCCTTACTAAGAAGGATGGCATACTTACTAAGTTAGTGATTTAATATTTTATTGTCTTTAAGATGGTGGCACAATGTATTTTATGTGGCTGTTTTTGTATACTTTTTTTCTTATATTGAGATGCAAAATTTATTGCAATACTCAAATCTATGATAACAGTAAAAGCACACATTTGGTCATAGACCTTTAGCACAGAGCTCACTCGAGTAAGCAGGAACCTTAAATTTAGTTCATTAAATTTTAATATAAAGTGAAATGTGTCTGTGTAATTTACAAACCTTTAAAACTAATATAACTTTTTGTTTCAGGAACTACTGATGTAGTATAAGGGCTATTTTTAAGAAAACAATAAAAAAATTGTAAAAAATATATCTTGTTTTCTTAAAAACCAAAATACTAAGAAATTCAATTTAAATCACGGTAGGAACAATAAAAAACATACTATTTAAGGAGGAAATTTATTAAAAAATGATATAAAATTTATTTAACATTTGTCTTTTTGTATTGATGGGTTATATTTGTCACTTAATTTACCTTTAAATATAATATTTTTTTGTAAGATGTTATCTCCCTCCGCAGCCAGGCCTACCACCTGGGGGTGGTCGACAGATTGTCTTTTTTTTGCACCCATAAGCTGAACTTGCTATCATTACTAGGCACCAGGCTATCCACCATAGTACACTTCCTAGCTGCATCTAATGTGAAAAGTAATTTAATTTTTTATTGGCAGTAAAGGCATCAAATATAATAATAATGTTAAATATATTGTCTAGAAACACGCCTCTAATTCCATCAAATATAATTGAGTAATGTTAACAGCATATTATTGTCTTTGGGGCTGTTCGGCCGATGTTCGAGCGAGAAGAGGTTCGACGTTTCGCCATCACGTGTGGACGGCTTCAGATTGAACCCCCCCTTGCTGGAAAAAAATTTCAAATCAATCTTTTCGGCAAGCCAAAAACCCGGAAGACAAAAATATACCCTTTCTAATTGGTTAGATACATTGAGTTTGATGTTTTATACTTGGTTTCTTAAAAATAACGAGATGTTATTTTAACTATGATTACCAAATCGATTATTCATTCACTGTTTGCAAAAATTTTGCCTTAGTGGTAACTACCTCTCTGTGGTTATTAATTAGGGACGTATAACACTATATTTACCATTCTGCTTGCCCATACGCAACAAGCTCTAACGGCGAACAGTGTACAATTTTTTCACCAATATTTGGGCTTGCAGCCACCCGGACAGCGCGGAGGACGACACGACGACTTGCGTTTGCAAGCCACAGCTGCTGCCACCTATAGCCACCAATAATTTCTAACATAAGAAGAAATAAGCAGATATTTTGTGTCCCAAAGGAACTAGAAAAATATATATATGTTATTTAGTTTCTTTGAAAATTCTTCCGCCTTCGTGTGTATATAATAATGTCGTCCTTTAAAGTCGATAAAAATGCCACGAAAAATTTTTAAATCAACTCTCTTCTTTTACAATAGAAATGGAAGAAAAGTTTTAATTCTTTTTTTGCGCATATCCTGAAATATATGACTTTTAGGAGCTATACATAAATAGTTTTAAAAATACAACAACAGTACTCACCTGAAAAAGAAGATACAAGAGGCAAAATATCCCGTAATGCAATTTCTTCATATTTCTAGTTCTCTTTTTCACGTACAATTCTGTACCCGCATATTGTTAATTTTATATTTTTCTCATTATTTTACTATAAATTTTGTGTGACATGACAGTGTTCTTTTGTTCTGTCACGTTATCAGATAATGCTTTTTTTTACTGTCGCCAGCTTCTCTTCTGTCAGCAATTGTATTAGAACGTTTTGTTTGCACCTTTATTGCAATAAATAAGCTCTATTACCATAGATTTTTTCTCTAAAGAAAAAATATTTTCAACGTTCCTGCTACGTTTAGATAATAAGGTACTAACTGTGTCAGCGACTTCGTCCGCGTAATAGTTATTTTGGGGCATATTTGTTTTTGCAATTTATCTTTATAAATTTAAGCTTTTACCCACGTAGTCAGTCGCGTGCCGTCGTTCTTGCAAGTTAATCTTAAAAGATAGACATACCGTGTTTCAGACATTGTTTTCGATAATTTAAAGATAAATTATTCTTTTATACATATTTTGGGGTATTTTAAACCGTTTTCGTAGCGTCCGAAACGGAAACCTACAAGTATGAATAATTTTCCCCGTTTTTTTTCACATTTACCTACCGTTGTTTCTCCGGTCACACACACAAAAAGATTTTTTTCAATTCGAACCACTAGTTTTTGAGATTTACGCGTTCAAACAAACACACTCTTCAGCTTTATATTATATTAGTATAGATGTATGTTGGAATTAGACCATGAAATGTTAATGAGTGGTTTCATTTTAATGCGGTTTTCTTGTAAAGACTTCTAAAAAGATACTTCTAAAGAGTTTATAGGATATTAAGAGCAACAGCGAAAATGTCTTTGTAATGCCCCAGGGGGAAAGAGATGTCTAAGAATTATTAATTCCTATACAAAATTCTATCTTCAAAAATTTGATAATCTTTAATTTATTATACGTACTTATGCATACCTATATTTCTTAATTATGGTGTAAACATGAAAAATAATATGCAATATTAAAACCATGTATACCGTTGTGACTGTTATTCTTATCAATTACTCGCATCGCGTATATAAACAGAACTATATAAACGTTAAAACTATTAAAAATATACAATGATTAACAGAAAAACAAGGCATACAATAAACATTAAGTAACTTTATTATTTTTCTAACAATCTTTTGCAACATAACTTGGGAGGCAGCGCCACAGCGAACGCCAGTAGCTACGACAGAGCGAGCACAAGGATACGCGCCCTCCCACTCGACCCCTCTCCCGAGTGGCATTTTCTTCTGTTACCGTATAACAGCCTGGTCTGGTCATGTGAGGGTTTAACCTTTTTGCTTGTGCGTACAAGTGCACAGGATCATCAAGGTCGAAGCCGCACTGGTTCAGCTTCCGTACAGAACATCCAGACGAGTCACTTTCAACTATGCTATGCACGAGGACGTTATTTGGACGCGCCGGCGCAATATCCAGTTTATTAGCCTGCGAGAACTCGAGACGTTTCTCGCGCGTTCTTGCCGCCACCGCACTTCCGCTGCACAACATAGTTTGAACGGTCGTTGCGTTTTCGTGGGGCTCAGTTGCGACCAATTTATCGCGTAGAGAGACGGTCCCAGACGAGAGCGCACGTACCATTGAAGAAGGCTGAGGTGGGGGGCGACGTGCTGCGAAAACTCGGCTCAACTCCTCCAGTTTTCGCATTATTATCTTATAAGTCTTGCACGATTCGTTCAAATGTTTGTCTTTTCGCTTACGACGTCTACTACTGGTTGTCCTGCTGGACGATGACAGCTCACTGGAGTCACTGCTTCCACCAGAACCAGGTACCTTATCTTGGCCAGGCGGTTTCGCAATGCCTTATGAATACAAAAAATATGAGATCACAACAAACTTAGATATACTATATAAGTTAAAAAGAAAACATACTCAATATTAACAAAAATAGTCAATCATAATCTCATTTCACTCAACATAAGAGGTTCTAATAGAAGGGCCCTCCCAAAAGTGTTGATTCTAGATTCAAAGTTTCAACAACCTAAGAGTGTACCCCACTCTAAAAGTAGAGTAGTTCAAAATCTAAGTTCATGATTAAAAACGTTACCAGTAGCAGCTGGTTCTGAAGTAGCATGTTGGCTCGGAGGTTGTCTCGCTCTATCTTCTCTCACTGTACTATGCTTTACACGCTCATCTCTGATATCCGCTGTATGTCTCTTTCGCTCAGGATCCGCCGTAGCCAGCCGTTCGCAAATTTGAGCTACTCGCGCGATCTGTTGTTGTTGTTCTTTTAGTGTTCGTTCACACACCGCTCGAAACTCCCGTATTGAAGACCCTGAGTGACGTGATGATTCGCGCACTCTGTTACCCTCGTTAACACGTCTGTAATGATAGACTATGGGTCTCTCAGTGCAAATACACTACATATACAAACAATTTGTTCGAGTACCTATTCCGTTGTTTCCTTCTTACAAAACTGCCGTCTGAAACTCCAGAATCATGCGAGTATCTTTTGTGTGGTGGAGGGTACTGTCCAGTGTTTATAGGAGCGTATTGGATGGGAGAAATTCGAGGTCCTTCTGAGCTGCTGCCACGCCCGCTACAAGTGCTTGGAGATACCTGTCTTCTACCTAAAGCTCCTGCGTCCACTACGAGATGCTCGGTTCTAGAATAGTCAAAATAGCTTAGTTAGATATAGACCTGTACCTATATTATGTATTTTGTTGACTTCTGACCTATCTTACCTCCCTGAGCGTGGTAATGAGGGCCTAACAGAAGATCTCATATAACGGTCCAGGTCGATGATATCAGCGCCTGTGGGCAGCGCAGGGCCCTCTGACATGGAAGAAGATATTGACATCTGACAGAAAGATTAAAATTATCCAAAATGCTCGTTAAATTCTGTTTCATCTTCTTTCCCGCGACAGTAATATAATCATGAAATAATTGTTTCTTATTTCACAGCAACTACTGCTCTAGTCTTACACTTAAGTGCATTGGAGATAACCGCGAAAATTTATTAAAATTATATATTTTCATTTTGTTACTTATTCTAAATAACCCACACTGAGTTTCTGAGTATTTTATGAAACGTAGACATTATTACTTTATTATATTTTGGATAAATTATTTATACTTAAACACCAATACCTGGTAGCCTGATGGACTAATGTATCTTTGTCTGGTAGTACCCCGAATGTCAGGCACCAGGAAGGGCCGCGAGACCAGCTCGCCTTACCTCTCCAACTTTTCCATTCCCGCGTTTGACAAAAGTGATAATAAACAATGTCAAAAATAATACAGCAATACAATAACAATATTCAATTACAGACAGTTTCTATTTCCTTAGCAACTCTATTAGCAAATGTCACAAAAAGATTTGACCTATATTTTACACTAGCTGAGTCGGCGACTTCGTACGCGTAGAAGAGTTATTTTAGGTATCAATTTTTGTTTTTTTTAAACCTCCGATTCAGCTCTATAATTTTCGTTCCATCGTTCTTGCAAGTGAATCTTACATTATAGAAATATACTATCAGAAACTTTTTTTTTACATTATTTAAAGAGAAATCATTCTTTCATAAATATTTTTTGGGCAATTAAACCGTTTTCGCAATGGAAACCCAGCTTCCTTTAGTCACAGCTATAAAAGTATTTTATAAATCCTTTAACCAACACAAAAAGAATTATTCAATTCAAACCAGTAGTTCCTGAGATTAGCGCGTTCAAACAAACTTCAGCTTTATATATTCGTATATAGATTTATGTGGTGATGTGAAACCTTTTTACTCATTCACATTTCATCATCGTTTTCTATATATCTATTAATGTCACATCTTTCATTCGTTCAATATTGTAAAATTCTATACCTATTATAACTGTCGAATTTTGTTTATTAAAACCTTTCTTAAGGTTTTGTCTTATTATTTCAATTTGTGTGGTATATTCTGTGTACTTTTACGTACCTCTTCTGAAAGTCAGCGTACCTACATCCATACAGGCATCCATCTTGACGCCAACGGTCTGGGCGAGTGTAAGTATTATCAAACAGTGTAAGTTACAATATAATATATTGTTTTAGTACATTTGAAACCCTTGAAATTGTAAAACAAACAAAATACGGTCTATTTCCTTTTGTATATTGTTACTCTATTTAAAAATTATTCACATTAAGTATTTTATACTAATATGCCCTTACTGGAAATCGAAACTAGAGCCTTCACACACAAACGTTGCTGATCAGATGTCAGTGTCCTCTTCGACTTAACTTTATATAATTTCGATCGAAGATACCAGAACTCTTGCGCACCATTCAATGTTAGATCATAGCCACGGAGGCAGTAAAAATACAAGGTACACAAATAAAACAACAGCATCTGGCAAGTTATTTGTATTATTTCTTTACACTACAATTTGTTCAGCGCTACAGCGTTATATAATATTGCATTAACATATTCTATACATATAAACTATCAGTATACACATCTAAATGAGTACTTAGACAATCAGAGCTTGTATTGTCCTCTTTTTCATTACTAATTGTTTTGACAGAGACAACAGTATTCTTAGACTGTATTTAATACATTTTGCCATAATTACCTCATTGTTTAGTTCAAACCATTGTGCAAATAAGCCACATTTAATGACGCTTTGATTCAACTCTCAAATAGATGGGCTATTCGTTATTTTAATCTTCAATTTTATTAACACAACTTCAAATAACATATAAAAAAGTCTTCACTATTATTCGGACTACCCTCCAAAATGAATGATTATTATGAAGGGTAGTCTGTTACAAAAATGTTAACATCATTAAGTAGTTTTTACTTAAGCATGAGGTTAAGTTTCCTTAGTTACCAGGACTGTTATACACATATTATGTATTATTGGATACCATATCAAAAAATAATTCGCACAACGTACGAATAACGAACAGCACTTTCATTTGTTTGTGATGTATTTTCAGGTTTTGGAAACTACGGGACGTATTTATGCCGCGAGAGACTTGAAAATTGTACTATATAAATTTATAATTTATGTGTCTTCTCTCTATCTCTTCTAAGGGAGTGTAAATAATGAGACGTTCTGCTTCGAGCTTCTAAAACTAACTTGAATTTGGCTGAGGCGAGTTAGTTACACAAATTTATGCTACTTCAAGCCATGACTGATTCAGTGTCACCTTATTTTTAACCATGGCATTGCAAAAGCTTCTACTATTCACACACAAATTCTATTACACCTAAGTTTTACAACTAGGAACTTCGTACGTTTTATTTTCGGCTTTGGTTTGAAAATACTACATTTAGATTGTCTCTCGCAGCTTCAAAATAGCAGTAATTTCATAATAAACATAACTTTCCTTTAACACCGTCGTCGTGCTGTCTTGCTCTATCTGCTAATGCAAGAGCGGCACGAGCCTTTGGATATATATGTTTGTATACTAACTACAAGCACGTACAAAATTCTAGGGACGGACAAAAGTAATATAATTTTTTATATATGTAAGAACAATAGCTTTGTAAAGGTATAAGACAAAACAAAAAAAAAAAATTGTTTAAGTAGTTTGTTAGTCACTCGTAACATGGGCAGTCATTTGATGGAGATAGAAATTGATTTTGGATGAGTTACAAAATATTCTTACTAAGTGAAAATTATATATTTTTATTTTATTTTAAACGGACCTCATCGGCTATCTCTATGTGTGTCATATATAGCCATGATTTAATAAGCGAGTTGCTTTATTGTCGACATATTGTAAACTGCACGCGCCTATTACAATTTAGCGCAATATTTTTGAAAGAATAAAATCTAACTGTATTTACGATTATGACAATAATAATTAAAAGCGCGTGCAACATTAAGCGGCTAGTTTTTTAAATATTTCCTTTATAATATTACTATAGGTGTTCTTGTAAAATCTTAAGATCTTGTTTAATCTTAATAGTAAGAGACGAACATTTGCGTCTCATAGTCTGAGGAGAAGACCCTGTGTTAAGTCATTAATGCTATATTTTTACAATTACAATTCCATCAAAAACCACACAGCTTTTTATATAAAAATCAAGCAATTATGTATATGAAACAACTTCAGAAAACCTACTTTATGTAATTTAGTACTATTTAAGCATCTTGAGTTGGTATAAAGAAATTGTTAAAAATTCAATATAACCGAAAGTGTAAATAAATAAGTGAGTTATATGAAAATATTGAAAAATATTTTTCAAACAATAAAATTTTCGCTAAAGCGACAACAGAGAAACATAAATATTTGATTTAACCAATTACTTTTTTGTAACAAAATTGACACAATCGACAACTTTGCGGTTAGATGTGACAGATTATTATTATGGGGAATAAATACCAAATTGAATTTGATATTTTATCTGTGAAGGAGATACAAGCCAATTGTATTGACAACAAATCTTTAACAATAAAAAGAGAGAGAGAGTTATAATATGTAATCTGTCAAATCCAACCTGCAAATAAATTACAAATGATAAAAAAAACTTGAATTATTATCAACATATCGCTACGGTGTATATATAAAGCTCTATACATAATTTAACCCGCCTCAAAGCAGATACTAGAATAGCCTAATCGAATTTCTGCCATTTTCAACTTTATTTATACCACACTTAAGTCCATATTCACTTCACTTACAATTTGTCTTTTAGTTCACGTTAGTTTGATTATATATGGGACTTATCCGTCCAAGCTGGTGGTAATTATTCCCCAAGCATTATTAAGAATGGATTGATGGGCCGAGTCGAACTTATTCGAGGCTGGCCGCGTGTCACTGACTATTTGCTAACTCGTCCATTCGACATCTGAAAATCATTTATGACATATACAATTGGTATATATAATGTTTTATTTTATTTACATACAAACATTTAAATTAAACACTTTTATGATGTTAACTTATCTTTCCCTACGGCCCGAATTTCTAAAGCAGCCGTGATCACAGGGGGCTTAGAAGGAGTGTCCAATCATAGAAACAAATGGCGCTGTGGCAGATTTTTGACTTCGACATTAGGGACACCCTCTAATCTTCTGTCCCCTCGTCACCGCGACATAAAGTCATACATTTCGCGTTTTAAACCGTTCAAAGTGTTTTATTTTAATGTGTATTACTCTAACTACAGACATTACATACATAATAGACACTAATTAAGATTGACTTTTAGAAAGGATGAAAGTGAAATTATGGCAGACAACTTGTAAAACTATTTATGTAAAAAAATATTTACCAATACTAACAAAAGAGTTATAGTATATATAATATTAACAACAATATTACCTGACAGCCATTTCAGCAACTTCAAGACTGGGATAATCCAACTCCTTAACGAGACACAACACCGCAGATAGTAGATTTGAATTCTGAAAAGAAAAACATCTATCCTTATATCTAAACTTCAAATAATATATGTCCTTTAAAAATTTGAAAAAAAAACTTAAATTGAATCTTTGGTATTTTACCCGCGCTACTGGCCTTCTCGTGAATCCACGGCGCTCTCCCATCACAGCGGAAGGGTATTCCCGACCCGTCCCGTTCCCCATCCCTCCTCGCTCACTCCTTTCCCCGCGCTCGCCTCTATCCCATTCTCTAACTGAGTATGTGTCGCTACTGAAATAACAATAAATACAATTAAATAAGAGAAGAGAAGAGATAGAAGAGCACAGACCAGTATGGACTTCACCTCATGAATGATCTCAGGTAAAATGCTCTAGCCATAAACTATCTAACAAGATGCCCTGGCGACGTATTGTGGCTTAAGATATTCGCAAATCCACAGAGTGCAAAATACATACGTTTAAACTTCACGGCCTTTGTATCTGTGGGCTATGATTCGTGATCCAGACGGAATTTCGATATTTCTACAACCAATTTAATACTCAATAAGACTTCCAGGCAAAATCCAACTTGTTTTAGAAAAAATAGAAATTAGTGAGAAACATATTGGAGCTAGTGGAGTTGGAGTTATTGGTGCAGGCTATTACTAACCGATCGCTTCTTTCGCTGCAGTCGTTTTGGGGGGGCGAAGCAACTGATGAGCCGTATTGCCGCCAATCTCCGTTGCTTGCTGAATACGCGTAATCCTGATGGTATTGAAAATATTTACTTATTACACATTCCGAAAGCATATGGCCACTTACTTAAAGATCGAAGGCCAGCAAAGGAAAATTTCAAGTACCTACAATGAGTTCACCAAATCAAGTTGATATAGCTGTCGCTTTTCAATAATTCACTAAAACGAAAGGGACAAGATAAGACATCAACTATACATGGCGCGTAAGTACTTTTATTATTGTTGTAATTGTATTTCTATTGCATTTGTAATATATGTACATCCAAATTTGATCCTTAATTTTAAAATAAGAGTACCTAACTATTCCAAAAAAAATGTATGCCTTGTGTAGTCTACCAGGAATGATAAATCTTTACAATTATTTCCAATAATATCTTTATACGTCATTATTACCGAGTTCTTTTACGAATTACCCGGGCTAATTACACGCGTACTTAGTCAAAGTGTAATTCAAATACCTTACATTCAAGTGTTAGAGCATATTTACCTATGTTTTAGCATGAAATGACGAATGAATCTATGATGAGGTGACTTACCTTAACGCTGTGCGCGGAGACAGAATGTCTTAGTGAGCCCGCATCGGGTGATCGTGGACCGCGCGGCTGGAAACGATACGTGGAGACAGTACAATATTTAACTCGGTGAGGCCGAGATGAAGCATTGAGTATAGCTATCGATATTTCTAGATGAAATTTCAGCAAAATAATTTAGCTTAATATACATTAATATTCTTCTCGCGTTATTCTTAAAAATCAAGTACACGACGCCATGATGACAACGTTCCGTGCGTTTTATACCGTTAAGTGTTTTTTTATCAATAAAATAATAATACTTTTTATATTATTGCAAAAACTAACAAAACGTAACTTTAAAGTGAGGGTAGGTCAACTATTTCTACAACAAAAGATTGCAAAATAGGACTCTAAAGGTGAAATTAGATTGCGAAAGACGTGAATGACACGAAAAAACAATGAAATAACTAACATGGGATGATATTTCTTTTGGAAAGCATTTCTTTACGTAGTAACAAGAACCTAGCATTAAAATACATACATAAATTGATACTCTGTCCTAAGTTAAATTACCTCGTAATGCGATGAGGTCATGGCGGGGTGTTCGTATCGCTCGTCTTCAGGGGACGCGACGCGACGCACAGGGGAAGCAGGGCACTGAAAAAGAAGAGAATATTTTAATTATAGAGCGATAAGGTAATTTCTAAGTAAGACACGGTCAGGACTTGAACCGGCATCCACAGCGTTCCGAGCTGTTTCTCTATTATCGATACCAATTGAGCTACCGAGTCCGCTACACGTCATCGTCGATTTTTTTCAACCTATTGATGACATGCTCCTCGCGCACATATTTTCAATAACATGTGAAAATATTACAGTTTTTAGACGCATACTGTCAAGGATTTTTTTTAATTATTGAAAAAATACTTTTTTCAGAGTCTTGGCTCCTATTGGCCATGATGCTTATAGCCTAGCCAGTAAATGCTATATATGTTAGCAGTAATGCTAACCAACAAAAAAATATTTTTTTCAATTCAAACCAGTACTTCCTAAGATTAGCGCGTTCAACAAATAAACAAACTCTTCAGGTTTATAATATTAATATAGATACGTATATATACATATATTTTCAATTCTTATCCTTACCCGCTGCGTGACTGGAGACTGTGCCTCCGGAACAGTCTCTTCCACGGAGCCGTCACTCGTCTGCATCACGAACACATGCATATATTTGTTAATGAGACAAAGATTAATGGTTACTACACACATACACAAATGGGAACCAGATATTAATGTGATGATGGACAAATATCTTTAAAATAAAAAATACTAATATAGGTAGTTACAAAGATATAGAAGATAATATATAGGACACAATTAATAATTCAATTATTTTGGTTTACAGATCAAAGGACTGGATGTTCCAAATCCCATGCAATGCATATTTTTAGATCTCGCCCTCACACTGTATATATAACATACAAAATACAAATATTAGTAACAATTATATAATGGTGGTCTGTTATGGATTTCACAATAAACCATTTTAGAAGAATATTTTGTACCTGTTCTAGCCTATTTTGGTGCTGTTGTGGAGGGCGGTAGTACTGCTCTGGTTCTCTGTCTGGACTGGACTCACAGGAACGCACGTTGCGGTACTGTGTATATTCTTGCTGGAAGGAAATGATTTAATTAAGATAATATTGGTATAAACGAGGTTAAGATAAATTTTGTTACCCTTACGAGTTGGCTACATTTTTGTTTCATTGTGACTGAAATCATTTATTATACTCTTCCATTCGATAATGCAGGATGGATCTCTGTGTCGAGAGTACAACTCCGGCCCGTGCCGAGGAAATATTAAATCTAAATCAGAATTTTAATTTATTAAGTTTATTCTCTCTGAGTATTAACCAAGAAAAGTAGACATCTAAGTTTTACTTCTTCTTTTTAAAAAGACAAAATGCCATACCTGTTGTGGATAGCCTTCATCATCAGAGTCTGGGATATGAACACCGCGTCGCATCGCTTCTTGAACCTATGAATCATTAATTGTGAAATTACTTTAGCACCATATTACTTTAGCCTAAGATTATATGCAAATAATAAATGATAATATACTCATAGCCCAGTACTTTTAAGTTAATTATATATATAATTAATTATTCGTACGGCCTCCTTGGCATAAAAATTCAATCCATTGCATTGCGCTATCCACGAGAGATCCTAGGTTCGAATACAACATAATACCTTGCCTGTAAGTAATATTGAGCAATAAAGCAGACACATAATTATGTCATGCACCATGTGAAGAAAACGGAATTTCATGAAAATAATATGAAATTTATTTGTACGAGAAATAAATTGTTGGATTCTGCTTTCAACGAACAGAAACCCTGCAAAATTAATATTTTCCCCGTGTTTTTTTATATTTCCCACTATAGGTGTATGTTTTTTAGCTTAAAAACTTTAAGGACAAATTTTCTGATCAACACAAAAATATGTTTTTTAACTCGAAGCAGTAGTTTCTGAGATTTGCGCGTTCAAACAGACAAACAATCTCCGCACTTTTATAATATTACTAGATAAGATATATTAAGCCTCACCTCCTCAGGATATACAGGAATGTTGTCCAGCTTTTCCAAATTCGGTAGATTTCTTAATACTGTCATTCTGTATCTGAAAGTTAAATGCTCATATTACTTTGTGTGTTCCTAGACTACCCTTTTCTAAGAGTAGAATTTCAAAACGTCTGTTTGGTATACAAAAAACTTAAAGTCCGTCTTCTAGATTAGAAAAAATCTGTTATTTAGAGACATTTCCCGGAATTGGAATTCTGGACTGCTTGTATTTCAAGATTTCACAATTCAGAATATCCAAAGCCGAAAAAGGACGACAGCGCATCTTGTGTATGGATATGAGAAGAGATGTTTTATGGCTGAGATATTTCATCTCCCATCAAGTGTCTACGCTTGTCAAACGCTTGTCTGTCCTCCACCTTCATTAAAATAAATAATAATAATTGAGCCATGCAAAATATCGAAACAGTAGTTGATATGATATATTTCCGGCTTATTCTCCATGTTACGAAAAGGAACTTCCTAATAAACTATTTTAAAATACTGTCTATAGTTTACGCGAGTAGTACACATTTAAATAAAACACTTTAATGGTTTAAAACGCGATATATAAGTTAATAATACCTTTAAATACCTTTAGAAAACAAATTAGATACTTAGATAGTTGCGTCATAACTTACTCTGGATGATGGGTGCATGGGTTCTCATCTAGCCATAAGCTGGTCAAATCGGGCAAATGCCGCAGATGCCGTATCTCCGCCAGGTCTCGAATCTCGTTCTTGCGCACGTAAAGCTCTCGCAGCCGACGACATGCCGCGAAGTCAGCGAGCGTCCGAATCTTGTTTACGCTAGAATTATAATAAACGGAACATTTTAGTTGTTGTTAAAAAAAGAAAGCTTTATTTTTAACATTTCTCGAGTTAAGTAACACTTTGTTATAAAGCTATTCGAATTTTTGAACAACTACAATAGTTAGATATATGGTCTCGAGATGTTTTTTGTAGATATTTAATATATTCTATAATATTGTCAAACATTTTTTCGTCCTATCATAAATATTTTCGCAGCGTATGCGATGAAAGATATTTTATGACTAATTTTTTTACACGTCCCGTTGGTTTGGTAGAAATTTCTAAAGATTTCTATAATCATCTAGTACTAAATGTAGCCTAAGTTTCTCAGTGATAATGTAACTTTCTAATGAAAAAAGATTTATTAAAATCGGTCCAGTACTTTTAGAGTTTATCCGTTACATACAAAAATACAAATCTTTCCTCTTTATAATATTAGTATAGATGTTTTACATATATATAAATAAAAAAATATAAATATATATACATTTTTATACAATTTTTTCCAAAATTTTATTGTCTTTTTTGGAGCCGCTAAAATTCAAAAATGTATATATAGTATGTACACATGTGTGTCTGCCAATCGAAGAGTATAAATTTTTACTAATAAAACCGGGCGTATACAATTTGACTCTCGCACGTAACATTGTTCCGTATTTAAACGTATTAATTACTAATTCCGTTAATGAATTATTATCAATCATTAAACCTAAAGACATTCTTAGGCATTACATAAGCTTGTTGTCCACCAGTCATCTCTGAAAACTGTACAATACCATCACACTGCTTCTTATAATACGAATGAGTTGCATTATAGCGAACTTTCCAAACGGTTCTCTTTGCGAGTCAAACATTGAAGAAAGTGACATTGTGGTTAACCAAGAGAGTTCTGATTGGATAAATTTTATGTAATGTAGAAAATAGAAATAGAAAATGTACCTATGGCTAATAACCAACGGGTCGTGGGTTCTATTCCCAACATGTTTCTAATCTTTTTTATAATTCTCCTGAAAATATTAATCCTCGCCTGAAAACCTGAATAAATAATGTTTGGAAGAAATATCGAAATTCCGACTAAGTCTCGAACCGCTGTCCACAGATGAAAAAGTCGTAAAGTCTAATCGCATTTCAGTTTCAGACTGTGGATTTCCAAATATCCTAAGCGAAAATAGCCTGTCAGCACATCTTATTTAGAGTAGGGTATATCACCTTTTAAGTGAACCAGACGCTTGTCTATGGAGATAGGGAGCCTATATCATTAAAACAAAGAAAAATAGATACTCCTTCATTCTTCCGAGTTCTACACGTGCTACATCTAATTTAGGGAACTAAAAAACTTAATAATCCTTTCTTTATTATAATTAATTTCGAAAATAAAGTTTAAATTAAGTTAAACTACTATTGAGTTCCGTTTGTAGCTAATGAAAGTTAAATCATATATTGTAGACAGGATAACCTATTTATATTTGTTGATTAATTTGTAAATATTTATTATCCTTAACCAATATGATTCGGGTTTTAAAATCTATTAATGTGTTTAATTTAATTCCTACGGGACTTCTTAAAGATACGCAGTTCGATCAATTTCCTAGTATATAAAACTCCCATAATGTCATAACTTCTAATTTTGATGTAGGATATATTCTTAACGAATTTATATTTAAAAGATACATTTTTAATTAATATTTATAAGTACCTACACTGCCCATATAGAACGCCTAGGGAAGCCTAACAATAAGTCCTAATGTTTAAATCCAAGATCAATTACAACCACTAAGCTTTATGGATCATTTTACGTTGTCTAGTCTTAACCCATCATGCTCATTATTGCAAGTCCATTTAATCCTTTAAACAAATACACACACACTTTAACTTAACAAATTTAATTAATTGAATGAGACCCTTGGCTCAAGGATATTATAATTACCTTCGCATGCATTGGGGCTTGCTTAAACAACATTGTCGAGCCGATTCGCATTGTTTACTCAGTACTGAATACCGAGTACCTAGTGCCGAGTACATAGTACCGAGTACCTGGTACCGAATTTGTAAACTCTACTCGGTTTTAAGTCTTTCGTGGCGCCTAAAAATATTTACAAAATTACTTAAAAAACTATACTGTCTCCGTGCTCTTATAATAATTAATTAGCTATCTTCGTTGACGATAAAGGTTAAAAATTAAAAAAAAATGCCTATGTGCAAAACAATCAGAGCATGGATGAACACGCAATGAGCTTATTGACGTCACATTGCCCAATCGCATTCAATCAACCGTCACAGGATTTTTGTGTTTTTTACTTTAACTATGAGACCATTTTACCATGCATATCCCTAAGAAATATAGCACAAATCAATTCTAAATGTTTCACTTGATGCTTCTATGATAGAGGAAGACAAAGAAACATAGGATTCATTTTATTTAAAGCGAAGCGACCTACTTAGGCTTTGGATATTCGGAAACACACAGACTGAAACAGAAACGCAATATGTCTACCACCCATTTATCCAGATAACATCCAGATATACCTCTCACACCCACAGTCTAACATGTTCCAGAAAAATTATAAGAGATATATAATTTGGGTGTACTTCCGAAAAGCGCATACCGCCGATCGATCTGAAATTTGGTATACTTATCTATTTTGACCTCCTAATCACGAATACCATAACGAAAATTGGCGCAAACGCCGTTTTGGATATGTAAATCGAAAAAAACCTGTTTACGTTCAGTGTGTCTAATCACGCATTTCTAACCAATGTAGACTATTTGAGCTTTTCCCGAAAAGGGTGTGTGTATGTGTTTGTGTGTGTGTAACCATTTTTTACCCATAGTGATCCAAGTTCGTCAAAGCGTTGGAGGTTGCATGGCCGAAAAGCGCAGACTATTCGCGTTATCTACAATGCACCACGTGGAGGTTGTCTGTCTAGCATTCCTGGCCCTGATAAGGGCCGTTTTGTGTGTGTGTGTGTGTGAGTGTGATTTTCATTGATTCACCAATAACCTAAACGTTGCACATGTCCGCTATACAATTTCAACTTTGTGGTGATTTTCCACTGTGGTACATGAATGTGGTCCGCTATAGTAGTTGCATTTTCCATTTACTTTCGGCTGTCAGATACAAACTGCGTATATTTTTCTTTATATTAGTCGAGAATGTTTTTTACTGTAATAGTCGGCCTATGGAAATATTGGCGCTTTTGTCGATAGACTTGAGATCTATTCCCGCTATAGTAGCCTAATTCTCGAGTGGTTTTTTTGTTCTCCTAATTGACCTGGGAATATTTCCCGCTGTAGTAATTCCATTTCGTGAAAATGTTTTGATTAGGCACACTGAACAAAATTTTTTTCATATTCAAAATGGCGTTTGCGCCAATTTTCATTATGATATTCGTGATTAGGAGGTCAAAATACATAAGTATACCAAATTTCAGATCGATCGGCGGTATGCGCTTTTCGGAAGTTTATCCTATAATTTATTGTACTTATGCAAACGGACACGGTAAGTACTCAAGTTGATATCGTTCTTTAACAATTGTGTAATAAAAATTGCTTTAAAATTTAAAGATGCCACACATAGATAATATAATGTTGATTACCACCCTAATCCGGTGTCGGACGGGAAACAATTATCAATGCACACCGAGTTTATAATTACTTTGTTTCAAGAAACAAATGGTTTTGGTTAATTAAAACTTCCAAAAATGCAATAAAAAGTTAGATAGTTGTTAACTACAATTAGAACAGTAGCTAGTTAGTATTTATCGTAATTTTTATTTTCAATTTTCTTAGTATATAAATTATTCTGCCTCTGTATTTTCGTGAAATTCCCTTAGACTGGTTTTTAAACTTGAACTATATCAAATTTTAATTTTTTTACCTATATACTTCGTGTTATTACAGTAAAAAAAGTTTATTAAACGTGTACTACTAGCGTAAACTAAAGATAACTGCGCTGTTTCCGTGAACTCACTTGTGTGAGTAATGCTAGGCACCGCATTTAACTATTAGGCTGACGGTCAAATATTTCGGGATTTTTCGACGTTCTGTATTTTTTTTACATTATTTAAATTTCATTACATTTCAATCAAATTTGATTGAATAACAAGTGACAATAAATTAAATATGGCAAAAAGGGTTCTTGGAGTCCTTGGGTCCTTAGAAAAGTAGTGTACAATGCGCTACAATGAATTATACATATAGTATATACGCATAATATATATATAATAATATTGACGTAAAAATAATGATAGACTACGTGGTAAATACATAAATAAAAATGTAGAAAATTAGTTATTTAGATATGATATGTTATTGAAGGATTGTAAGATTTTTATTTGAGTGAAAATTACTAAACCCGTAACTACTTCTCCGACACCCCTTGTCCTAACTATCATACCTCTTTCCTGATACCTATAACCAATTTGTTGATACCGTACAAACTGGTGCAGCGGCGATGTCTTCCGGCAATCAGAGTCAATAATTATCCACTTACCTTCCCGTCTAGACACCAGACGGTTTTCGACCTCATCCCGTGAGGCACCACTTGCGTACAATAACCCTTTTATATCTTCCACTGTTTAAGACCCATTTATTAATTTTGTAAAACAGTTAGGTTATTATTATTGAGTCGGTTTCAAGCGCCTGGACTGAAAATCTTATATAAGATGACGAATTTCAGACAAATGATTGAAATCAAAGTTTATTAATGCAAAAAAATATTAGTACCTTTGTAAGTTCAATTAAACATTAAAAAAAACTGTAATTTACATTCTTGAGATTTTATGTATGTATATCAATATTTACCAGAGGGAGGAGGTCGCGTCTGTTTTTTATTTTTCCTTATGTTATAGCGAAAATTATCTTACCTGATAAATAAACCTTATAGAAGAAGCAAATTGACTTGGTACTAGTACTTATAGCAAGAAAAGATCATGTCTTGACAATTCTTAATTTTCTTAAATAAAATATTACATACCTGAACGCTAAAACCTCGATGTTGGGCAGTCTTCTTAATACGCTGACGTCACCTAACTCCGCGCCCCTGAAATAAAAAAAAGTCCTTTGTATAGGGTTACACACTTTTTTATACTCTACCAATTATGTACGATGTACGAAAAAACCCAAAATGAGCGCTATCATGACAAGTTCAATAAAGAAGCAAATTTGGCTCTCACTTTTATTTAAGTTAAACAGTAATCAACAACAAATAAATAACAAACATACCAAAAAACTACGATTTCATGAATATTATACTCACGTTACTTAAATCTATTGAATATTAAAATCGTAACCCCGTTAACTGTGTTCAGCTGTTACCAGCCATATTTCGAGTCTGCGCACGCGACGTCGACAATTTACAAATATTAGATCAAATTCGTATACTATAATCACCGTTTTCGGTTCGCGTGATCGACGCACGCGCCACTTATCCGTACGTGGATTATTCATGTATTGAAAACAAAAGTGTATTCAACTGTGCAATCTGCTACAAATTTATTATTCAAACGAGTTTGTCTTAGGTTGTTTGCATGTCGAGTTTTTGTTTTAAAGTATTTTTTTTAATTTACATGTATTATGCAACGACGAGTAAACCAAACAAGTGTGACGTAGCAAGAAACCAGCTGATATTTAAACTTGTATGTATTCAGTATTTTTTGTTTTGTATTAAAAATAAATAATATATAATCTTTTTTTTATTATACCTTCGTACATTTGTTTTTTCCCCTAGTGCACCAAACATTATTTATGGGATTGAGTATCAAACACACGACCTGACGATCGGAAATCGATTCAAAATATTACTGGATTTATTCCGTACCGAGATATCCAACTACTAAGCACTTAGGTGGAAAATGTATCTTTATTAATATTTCAATATAGAAGACTTTGTTTGTTTGTTTAAATGCGCTAACCTCATGATCTAATAGTTCGAATTGAAATAATATTTTTGTGTTGATCGGTCCATTTATCGAGGAATGCTTTAGGCAATAAAAGATCAGACTACAATCAAAAAAACCTAAGAAACGGGGAAAATTATGTATAAAAGAAAACGATTTTTAAGTGATCTAAAAAATTGCCACGACAGAATATTGTTTATTTTTTTTAAATTAAATCGCGTAAACGACGTGACAGGACGCGGACGACGTCGTGAGAGGGTGAGAAATAATTTTAAGAGGTTGTTTACAATAATAAATAATATGATGCCCAAAATAACTATTTCATACGGACGAAGTCGCTGACGCAGCTAGTGAAGGAAAAAATCGTTAATCACGCTAACAAACATCCATCTAGATAGCGGCATTTGGCTGTATAAAATAGAAATGGAAAGTGGTCTAGCGAGATGCTGATGATTACATCACATTTTGGATAGTCATGCGCATCCCATTATCTAAACGATATACTGACTATAACACATTAACAATTTTGAAAAGAAAAACACCGTTCGTAATTTGAAATAACTGCGTAGAATATATAACTACTATCTACGAACTAAGAGATTTATTTTTTATTTTTATGTTATTTTTAGGCATCAAAATATGTTATTGCAAAACCTTGATAAATTATAGCTGTAAAAGATAGACACATAGTGTCGTGAATATTTATTAAGATTATTTCAAGAGGAATTATTCTTTCGTAAATATTTTTTGGGTATATTCTATGGGAACAGTTTTCGCAGCGCACACAATGGAAACTGTTGAAAATTTTTTTTTTTTTTTTTGAGAAATTTTCCCGATTTCTTTTTCACATTTCCCACTGTTTCTTCGCTCCTTATGGTCGCGGCGTGTTGTTTTAAAGCTTAAAGCCTTCCTCGATAAATGCTCTGATCATTAATTTTTAATTTATTTAATCTAAAAAAAAATCAAATCGCTTCAATTCAAACAAACAAACTCTTCAGCTTATAATTTTATTATAGTTATGAATTAGCTATACGTGCAGTAAACTGTGTTATTAACAAAACGTGCGTATTTGTTTTTTTTTTTAATCTTTCAGAACTAACACGTCCACGTTATAAATACGATACCTAAATAAAATCCGTTAGATACAAATCTAGTGAGACGGAACAGAAAAAGTCAATAATACTTAGGCCGTGCGTGACACGACTGACTAGAATTGTTAATAAAATCGGCGAATCGGACTGAAGCACAAAGAGGGTACAAAAAATTCAAATTATAATATTTTTTAGTAATTCAAGTGCATTTTTTATGGTAGAGAAGAACAGACAAGCATGGCGTTCACGTCATTAGTAAGTGAAACACCCGAGACATTTAACACCTACACAATATGCGCTATCGACCTATGTTAGCTTAGGATATTCGGAAATCCACAGACTGAAACCGAAACGCAAAAACATTTATGTATCTGTAGATCCACCACTTAATGAATTCTGAGTGGGTTCTTTTTTAAAGTGATTCGAACTGTAGCTTTCTTTAATTTTATTAGCGCTGTGTACACAACGTAAAATTGACATTAAGTAGAAACAAAGGACTACACACTATTCTTTTGTTTCTTAGATATAATGTTAAATAAAAACCTTTTTTTGGTACGAGTAGGACATCATGATACAACCTATAATTGTCACTCGTTCCTTCTAATGTAATCTACATTAGAAGGAACGAGTGACAATTATAGGTTGTATCATGATGTCCTACTCGTACCAAAAAAAGGTTATATATCCACAAATATTAAACCTATTTGCGTTATACGATCAATGGGTGAATCATAGTAAGTTATTCACATTCAACATTGGAATAATCCAAGTGAGTGGAAGGTCGCGTGTGCTGTAACGCCTACGCATAGCACACATATTAAAAATACTAAACAACAAGTAACATACATATTTTTATATCGAAGTAACAATATTCCTAAGAATTCTAAAAAACATTAATGGATGTCGCATTTTTAAGTATGTCAATTTGGTAGTCTATCTATACTAATATATAAAGCTGAAGGGTTTGTTTGTTTGTTTGAACGCGCTTATCTCAGGAACTACGGATTCGATTTGAAAAAATATACTTAAATATTTATATTTATTATAAATATTTTTGTGTTAGTTACAGCATTTATTGAGGAAGGCTATAGTCTATAAAACATCGTCCTGTAAAATGCGAAAAAAATTGAAAAAAATATTCATCATTAAGGTTTTTCCGTGTACGCTGCAAAAACGGTTCAAGATACCCAAAAAATATGTATGACAAAATGATTCTTCTTTGAATGATCTAAAAAAAAGTCCACGATGCTATATATCTATCTTTTAAGATTAACTTGCAAGAACGACGGGAAGGAACGCGACCGATGTCGTAAGTAACAGCTTAATTTGATAAAGATGAAGGTTTACGAAATATCTGACACAGCTAGTGCATCATATACCCACCTACTAAATATCATTTGATAATCAAAGCCCTAATAATCGTAAAACTATTTTAATACCAGATAATCTAAGACAGATCCTATCTGGCACCATTAAACTTTTATTTTAATACAAAAGATAAGCTAATTTTCATATAATATTTGCTTCCCGCTAAATAGCAACAAAAACAACTTACATGGCCCAGAGGTTGTCGTAAAGCTATTCAACATTTTACAGACTCATCGTTTAGTTATCAGTTATAAAGAATCGATAAGCCATTGTCAAAGTAACCCGGTTTCAAAGTTTACGTAACAGAATGTGACCTAGCTGGTCTACAATATTATGTTAGAGGTGTGCCAGTTTAAAAGGCTTAAGTGAAAATATTAATACAAGATTGATGTAAAAACGCCACTGCAATAAAGCTCTACTTCTAGTTCTTTGATATAAATGAATGCTTTATATATCGGACTATAAAATACTCGGGTCACGATGTTGCTTATAATTGAGTTGAGTACAGTATTATACAGGGAACGGCATGATCGATTTTTAATAATACTTTATTATTTGGTATTTCTTATAGCCCTTTTTTAACTGCACGCCCAAGTCAGGCAATAGTGACGTAGGGACTGTGGTACATGGTACAGCAACCTCCACTCAGGCGGTAGTCGACCAGAAACACACCACCGGCACGCTACGCTTTCAAGGCAACCCTGGGAACACATTTGTAGATTTGTCCACGCGTAACATTTCATATATTTTTTCCATTTACATGTAGGTTTATACGCATGCTTCAGTTTAATATATAATTTCCATTTTATTTTTCAATAGTAGGCCTTTAAATGAATAAACATTTAAAATACACAACAGCATTCATTGAATTAGCTCAACCTTATTCGCACCCTGGACTTCGTGATCTGTCGCACGATGTTGCACCAATTTACATAATCAATGAGGCGATAAAACTTCAAATAATTATATTTTTGTGACTAGATTTTGACAAACATTTGAATTTTGTTTTTGTCGTCAAAATTGTATTGTTAAGCTGAGTCAGCGCAGACTAAATTCGCTAGATTATTTTCGCCTCCGCACTGACCTGTTAACTATTTGTGAAGCTGGACATTCGCCAATCCACCTAATTCATAGGTAGGCAGTTTGCCCCGTTAAGGGTAAGGAAACGACTAATTTAGCTTTCTCGTTTAAGAGACCATAAACAGATATGTCCTATAAGGATTTGGATAGTTAATTGCTGGCATGTATAAACACGAACGTTCACAACGGCAGTCCCGCCATTCGTTTGTCGTAGCGACAAGTGTTATGAAAGATAAACATTCAAAGACAAAGAAACAGAAAAATAAAGTAACCGTTCCTAAATCCATAAATTAATGTGACTGCCCCTATACCCCACGTGTGGGCAACGGGTATCACACACAACGTAAATAATAAATAAAGAAAAAAAGTTTATAAATATGGGATAGGTACCAAAAATTTAATTAACTTGCAATGTCAACTTGCCTATAAATTTTAGGTCATGATACCGAAAAAATATTTAAATATAACATACCGGACATACTTACAAGGCAAGTGTATCTACATACCTACTTTAGTGGAAGCAGATTCACGTAGTTCCTTTATTTGTAAAGTATAAAAATCTGTAATTCACGCAAGTTGGTGGTATTCATGAAAAAACAAACCTC